CATATTTAATTTTTCTAGGCGAGGTTGTCTTAACAATATGGCCATATAATGCATATTTTATTTTCGGAGAAGGTCGCCCTTCATACCAACGCCATCCTATCATATTTTTATTTTTCAAGGAAGGTTACCTAGAACAACCAAACCAATCTCAAAAAAATAAAGAAAAGAAAAAAGAATTTCTTTACAAGCTTATTATACAAAGTCATTGAAAAATATCTTTTTTATTTAACTTTGTGTCATAAGCATTATGAAGAGAGGGCAACTATCATAATCTAAAATTTTTCTATATTTTTTATAGTTTTAACTATTTCTCATTTATTTTATTTTACTATACTTTATTTTGTAATTTCCTAAAAATGGAAAAAATAACAAAAATACAAAAAATATATATATAATAATAATGGAGGAGGTAGCTCACTCCTCTCAACCCTAAATTTCTCCTACAAAAACAAACTTTTCCTTGAGACAAAAGGGGGAGATAGCCATAAAATGGAGGCCATAAGAGAGCCTCCAAAATTATGCTTCCTAAAAATAAATAAATAAATGTAGTCTCTAGAGAAAAAATAAAAGTCTGGGTAGCTATCTTCATTGGAAAAAGATGGTCGCCATGGCTATTCCTCCCTCCACCAAGCTCCAATCAATCTTTGTCAAAACAATAGCCTATCCCATTCATGGTCGCTAATCTCCCTCATAGATCTTTTTGAAATCACTATAAAACCCGAATCCACATCCATCTATACCCAACTCCTACGGTAGTTGCATCCATCAACGTCTACCATTGTAACCATCTTGACCCCTTTAATAATCATTTCTTCGATCCTTACTCCCTTTTAATTTTAGACAAGCCACACTCTAAGCTTTTTCTCACTCTCTCGTCAAGCTAAAAGTGACTCAACGAGCCATTCCTCATAACCCCAAAACTATCACCACTTTTTCATCTCTATTTTCCTTTTCTTCCAAAGATCGAAGTAGTTTTTCTCTCGCCCAACCATAACCCCTCTTTCATTGTCTAACCATTCCGCCATTATCGCTAGTTACAACGACCTCCTCCTCCATAGTCGGACCCGAGACCACCATCCACACACATTCACAAACCAACCTAATCCATCTCAACCGGTAGTCCTCATCCTCATAAGGCCCCAAAATCAAATAAGTAACCTTCGCCCTCTCATATATAAAAACTCAAACACTTGGTGGGTATATCCCTCAAACTAGAATCATTGTCATCTCTTATGTTCACAACCACATTACACATGAAGCAACCCTCGATCAACTCTCTCTTGTCATTTAAATGACAAAACATTTCATGTGAGAGCTTTTGGAGGAAGGACTTCGACTTCGAAATTAGGCGGTTGCTCTAATCTTTGAAATGCATCTCCCCATGAGGCTTTTGGATTAGATGGTAATATGGAGGATGTTTTGAGTTCGAGGAATGAAATTGTAGATGATAAAAAAGCTAGTATTGCGGATATGAAAAGTGGAGAAATTCTAAAGGATCATGTGGTTTGTTCGATGAAGATAAAGGAGCTCCCCATACAACCTTTTATTTTTCTCTTGGTTATCTAGGTGTGTAGGATCTTTTTCTTATTGAAGGTGCTTATAGATCCTTGCATACTATTGTTCGAACCAAACCGAGGAAGTTGTTTAAAGAGAATCACATGAAGAAACATTTACTCGTTGCTACTTTGGGAATTGGTTCGGTAAGGAAGAAAAAGGAAGGTAAAGTATTTTATGTTTGTGGTTGGCTTAAGGAATATTATAAAGTTGGTTTAGGTCCTTTCATTTGGGAATAAAAAAGGAGACGGCTAAACATGTCCATCCCATGTGAGTGGGGCTGGACATGTCCAACCCTATATGGTGTCGGAGGGATTAGACATGTCTAGCCTCGTGACTTGTGTCTAACCCTATATGGTGCAAGAGGGGCTAGTTGTGTCTAGCCTCGTGTAGTGTGAGAAGGGGCTAGACTTGTCCTACCCATGAGAAAAGCTTAGGTTGGTTCTAGCCTAATGGGCCTATGGCCCACCCAAAAAAAAAAAAAGCCTAATGTTGTTAATTTTGATTTTTTTTAATTTTGTTTTAAATATCGTCTTAAATATTTATTTATGCATGTTTTATTTACCACTTAATTTGGATTTAAGTATTCTAGTTTCCTTAGAATCTTATTTGGTGATTTTTTAATTCCTAAGTAATATTTTCATAATTAGTTTAGATAATCAAATGATAGATGAATTATCGAGGTTCCTAATTTTTAGGGATTGATGACAATTCTCTTTCGACAAAAAAATAATAAAATATAAACGATAAAAAAAGAGAGTAATTCAATTTTAAAATTTTTGATTTTCATAATTAAGTTAGATAACCAAATGGGTGACAAATTGTTAAGTCTCCTAATTCTTAGGGACAAATGACGATTCCCGACCTAATCATAAGCCATCGGCATTTAACAATCGGGATATTCTTTGACATACCAATTGTGTCAAGACTTGAAGTGGATCCGATATTTGAGTCGAAATGTCGCATGACGAAGGGGACTAACGATCATTTCGGTACAATGTCATGCCCAAAAATAAAAAATTTTAATTTAACTAGAAAATTAGAGTTCAATTTAGAAATGACTTGGCAAAAATAAAATACTTTAGGAGATGAATTTAGAACTAAACTAGATGTGATACCTTCTTTAGGAAATGACGTCTTTGGATAATCAATATCTTTCCAAAATGTAACCAACTCCTTGCCATAGAATCTCTACACTAGTGCTATTTTAAGTTCCTAGTTTCTTTAATAGTAGGTGACAACTCCAAATTCAATAAGAACTTGCATTTCCTTAATAACTCGCAAATAAAATGCAAATCTCTAAAAACCTAGATTTTTTAGAGTCTCGTCCGACGTCGCATAACAACATGGTTAATGTTATTTCCTTAGTTTAGTTACTTTTTCTAGAAATTTCATGACTTTTCATGAAATATCCTAAGTCAATCTCTTAGTCTAACATTTACTTGTTTTTTTTTTTTTAATTTGATGTTACTTCATACCTAACTCATGCATAATGCATCCTACCTAGCCATATTCTCTTCAAGTCCTTTATGTTGATTCACTTTTAATTTTAGTCACTTAACTTTATTATTTTATTTAATTAGGTCCTTAAATTTTAGTCTCTAAACTTTTAATTATTTTAATCAAGCTCCTAATTCTCTCACACATGTATAACATTTAACAATTAATTAACACTTAGCAATGCAACACAAAACACAATATCAATGCAAGTTTAAAACACACATTTCATACAAACATTAAACATAATTATCACATATTATAAACAAAACATTCATCATAAACTTATTTCACACACACACACACACACACACACACACACACACACACACACACACACACACACACACACATATATATATATATATATATATATATATTCGAGTACTTGAGAATGTTTAAGACAAAATGAACACACACGTGTGCATAGGAATATTCTAAAATTGGTGTTACATTGTAGCTATTGAAAAGAATAAGAGGAGAATAAATTTAAGAAGTTTAGATCCATGATTAGAGTTGTCCGTTGTTAAATTAAAGAAAAGAATGTTAGAAATAATTAAACATTGTTGAATTGGTGTCATGTTTTTCTTAATTGTTTATATTTTTAGCTCAAAGTGGTTCTTTTTTTTTCTTTTTCTTTTGTAGTGGGATTCAGTATGTATCAAAGTAGATAAGTTTTTAAAGAATCAACTTTTACTATTTTTACTAGTGATTAGTTAATTTAAAAAGTAGCACAACATGTTTTTATAACTTCATCCCAATAAGTCTATTTAAATGGCTTTCGTTGTATTTGTATTAAGAGAGTTTGACTCTTACATTTTAATAAGTTCATTTAAATGTGTCTTTTGTTGTAGTTGTACTGAGAGAGTTTTGAGTTCAATAAAAATATAATTCGGAGATGTAAGTGATTTTTTTCCCTTATTTTCTAACATAATTTAACCTCTCATAGCGATCCACCACTTTCAAATCTCTAAAAGTCGGTCGGGTACATCTGGAAAATTGACACCCTTTATTCTTCTTTCGGCCTTCAGTTATGAATGTGATCTGAATTATCATCAACTTATCGTGGACTGAAAAGAAGATTAACAGGGGTCCAACGCGCAAACGACGGATAAGTACATTAATCCAATTTATACTCCCGGTAAGATAATGCCATGACGGCCACTCATTCATCCTGCATAAGACCTTACCATGACGTAAAAAAAATCTCTCTTTTTAATTCTCTTTTCTTTTAAATCAGTACCTTTTCTTCTTCTACAAAGACGAAATTTGATGGTCCCAAAACGATTGTCAGTTGAAAGTTCTATATGCATATTTTGATTGTTGTGGCCGGATATTATTGATGGTTTCATACATTCATTCATAGTTATCAACCCACATTATAATTATGTGGCACCCCAATTGTGGTGAAGAACCACTAGTAAAGACATCCAATATGTAGAATAGATCAATTTTAGACTTCTTATTGACAGAAACATCCTAATTTTCTCTTCACACCAATATTAACATGCACATCCAATACAAATACAAGTACTCTAGCTTAATTACCTTGCTACTTCCACCGTTTAAATAATGCGATGCAATTATATATCCACACCCGTTCCTCCCCAAAGCCTTAAAAACTAACCTAACTAATTATACGTGAGGAAAATGGAAATTAATGTACAAAATTATACGCATGGGGACATCAGAATTTTCTCCCTTCAAAAAAAAACCAAAAGAATGCTCCAACCTTCTGCCCTGAAGCCTTATAAAGTTTCGTCCAATTGGTAGGTTAAAAAAATCCACATCTCTTTCTCTCGTCCTACGACACGAGAAGAAATTGTTGAGATAGTACAGGTAGTAGGACCTTAAAGTTGCGTGAAATCATTTGAAGGTAATCATTGTGAAAGTTTATATGGTTGTAGCAGTGAGGCGTGAACAAAGGCGGCAAGGAGAAGCTTGGGGCCTCATCTTAATTTCCAGCGAAGCTCAATGTCTTCCGCAATCCTTCTTGCATCAATTGATGCGCCAGGTAGACCACGCTTACTAAAGCCAACGGCATACAATCCATTTTCTCCTTTCCATTCATATGGAAATGGCTTTAGGGGCAGCCCATCTTTATCCGAAAACATGTTGGTCTCCTGAACAAAAAAATAAAATAAGATTTATGTGCACAAATAATTTTCTGGACTTGATAAAATCTTCTCTCTCGTAATTGACTAGCTTTAATTAATATATATATAAAAAAAAAAAATACCTTCAACCAAGATGGTACATTACTTTTATAACCTGTGGCTAGGATGATAGAATCAAAATTCTCTATCCTGCCATCAACAAATTCCACTGCGTGGTGTCTAAGTCGCTTAATACCCGGGAAGACCTAAAATCAGAGAACAAACTTCAACTACAAATCTATAGGTTGTCTCAAATAAATTTACAAATTAAAGACTTAATTTGAAATAAATAATAATAAAAACAAAATCATCTAAATGGTACTAATTATAAAGAAGTCGTTATCAAATTTTCTACCTTAATGTCCCCACTTCTGATCTTAGCAAGAGTCCCAACATCCAATACAGGTGTCTTCCCAGTCATGTTCTTGAGTTCGATAGGACCAAGTTTAGGGCGATCGAGGCCTAATTGTGAAGTGTCACCTAACATGAAATTTGACACCAGTAACAAAAATTGATCCACGAAACTGGTGGGTAACCACTTAAGCAGCCACATGGACAATCCAAACGTTGATACTCCCATCATCTCTAGAGGCAAGACGTGTACCTGCAAGGTTTGAGAAACAAGGTTGTATGAAAAAGGTTAAAAGAGGAATTAAGAAGGCTTAAAATTCATACCCCAATTTGTGTATTTGCATCTTTCGTGGCAGCATTGCAATCTTATTTTCCATTCATTAGATTCTGCTACGGTACTATCCATATGTGTGACGTCAAGAGAAACTAAGATCTACAAAGACAGAGCTAGCGCTGACTTTTGTTACGCATGTAAGCATATTCCAGAAAGTGAGTGCGTTCACAAAAGCATCATCACACGTGGTTCGCTATTAAAGCTGAAGTACTCAAATGTTTTGGTTAAAGAAAAAATGACACAGAGTTCACGAGAATGTAAATATAGTATAGCTGAGTGTTTCAAAGAAAAAATTTCGAACTACGTACCCTTACTAAGTGGTGAAATGAAAGAGGGTATAAAAGAACTTGTTTAACTTATTGATTAATTAGTTTAAATTCTCTTTCTGACAGAACATATATATAGTCATCTTTTTGGCAAAGTCTGATTGAGCTTAACCTAATGGAAGATGATTGGGGAATATGCAAACCCTCTAGCTAGTGCTATATATTTATGCATATATTGATATTTTTTAACGAACATGGTGGAGCTATATGTATATATTTAGGTATATTACACTGGTGCAAGTATGCTATGGTGCAAATAGAAGGTTTCTTTAGTTTTTATAATTCCTTAGTTTTCTTGTGTGATACGAAGAGAGTGTCAAGTAACACATTATAAGATGTAATTGCACATAATGGTTCGTGGAAGCCAATCCCGGACCGTTATAGTTTGATGGAAGTTTATTGTATACAAAGTAAGTTCGGTTGTGCTTACCGAATCTCTGACCACAAGTGAGGGACGAGCATTAAAGTTGCAGAGATCCAAGCAAACATCCATGCCTGAATTCCCACATCCAACTACCAAAACACTCCGTTCTCGAAACATTTTGCCGCTCTTGTATGAGCAAGTATGAATAATAGTGCCCCCAAAATCTTCCGTTCCTTCAATTTGTGGCATAACTTCCTCAGCATTCTCGCCAGTCGCTACAATTAGCCATTTGGATACATACTCAGTCTCCATTTGTTTTGATCCCAAAGTCTTTACCTTCCACAACTCCCGTCGATAATCGAATTCCGCACTGACCACCGAGTTGTTGAAAACAGGTTGTAGACCAAAATGGCTGGTGTAAGACTCCAAGTAGGCTAGAAACTGCTGTTTTGATGGATAAGTAGGGAAATTTGATGGGAATGGCATGAGAGGAAGCTCACAAAACTGCTTTGGAAGATGGAGGAACAGACGATCGTAGGTTTTGAGTTGCCACAAGGAAGCTATGCAGTTAGCCCTTTCAAGAATCAAGCAAGGAACGCCTCTTTCTTTAAGACAAGCAGCAGTGGCTAGCCCGGATGGTCCAGCACCTACTATGATTGGCCCAGGCACCCATACACACCTGCTTGCCGATATAGACATCTTCTTGTTGAAATGGTCATGTACACTTTTGCACTCCACTTCTTTCAAGTAATCCATCAGCAGCACAAGAATTAATACGAGAGAACAAAACTAATTAAGGAAAAACCCTTTGAATTGAATCCTTTTTCGACACAAAGTAGATCTCAAGATAACTCTTTCTATGATGTTCTGGAATATTAAGTCAAGATTAGACTGATATTTGAGACAAAGTTTTATCTTATCTAGCAAAAAGATGTGGGAGATATTTGGGAATTTCTCGATTTCTGGAAATGAAAATTTTTAGAGGGTCTTATCCACAACGAGAAACATGGGTTTGAAGTTTGATCTTCATGTATTGCTGAACGTAAGCTGGGTGGGGGTGGAAGGGGGTGGGTGTTGGGACTAGCTAGAGCAAGAGATACGGAAATAACACAAAGAAGAATTTGTCTAATGGAGCTTGCCCGAGTGAGAAACAAAGATGAAATAGGGTTCATTATTTATACATGAAAATTTGCTATGCTAGATATTTTCATGTGAATATGGATTGGCTGTTTAAGATGGAAGAGAAACTAACTTAGTCTTAACCCTGATTTAAAAATACTTATATTCCACATGCATTTCTTTCAAAAAAAAATATGGTAAATAACGTAAGACGAAAAATTATTCGAGATATATATATATTAAAAGTTACATAGTGAATTTAAAAGTTACATTAGTGAATACATATCATATAAAATTATTCATGAATTTTATTTTTATATGAACTATAAATAAACTCTATATATATTTAATATTTCCTCATAATAAAAGTACCTATTCAAAAGTGTCAATAAGTAGGGCCCCCACTTCAACCACCAACAAATAATGGTATTCCTAGTTATAAGGACACGTAGCTACTCTTGCATATTGATTGAGAATCTCTAGAGAGAACCAGGAGCTATATATATATATATCCGAATTCCCAATTGACAGACGTAGCCAACCTTTCATGATGCTCTTTTACATGACCCTACGAAATAAAAGAACTGGATGACCACAATGACAGCATCAAGTTGGTCTGAATTATAGGTAGATTAATATGAAGATCATGTCCTCCAGATTCGATCTTGTTATTCTGTCACCAATGATTAGCGATCTCTCTCTAAAGGACACTTAGCTTTTTCATATAACCAATCATTTGGCATGTGTGAATTATTTTAGTAATTGAGGAAAAAAAAAACATAATTAAACTAATTTATGTAATTTAATTATTTAAAATGTCATCATGTTCTTTTTATCTCTCTCTTCTTCTTCTTTTTTCCTTTAAAATTTTATAAACATCACAATGCAAAGAATCCATAAAATTTGAAAGAGGAAAAAATAAATTAATTAAGGTCAAGCCACCTGACATATTAATTAATAGTCTTTTTATTTAGCCAATGACCACTTAATAAGATAATTACCTTCGATGACATTAGTAAACTCTTTCATCATAGATTTTAAAGTGTCAAGGAAATCATATTTTTTTGTTTTGCCTAAGAGATCTTTCCATAATTTTCAATCATTCCTTTCTCCCTTCTTATTATATAATTATATAAGAAATTTTTTAATACGTGGAATTGTACATCGCAATGATGTACCAAAAATTTATACAAACCATGGGTTCAATAAATTTATACAAGACCAAACCTAGGAAGCTCTTCAATGGGGTTTTTCTTAATCACTTCCATTTTTATTAGCATTACTTAAACTCATTGGTTATTCTCTACAACACAATCATCCCTAGCAAGTAAGGCCCAACATTCACTCACGTTCTAGTAACCCAAGTATAAAAGAAATAAAACTTAAGGACTTGCAGACAACGGATCGACAAGAAACATACAAAACATAAACTCTTAACACGATTCGAATAGTAAAAGAAAACATTAAAAAAAAATATTCATTAGTAAGATCAATCAACTAATAGATATATAGTAGAAGAACAACAGGATTCTAACATCAATAAAGATACCATTCGGACAATTAGAAGAAATGTGAAAGATTGCAATACATGAATAACATAACGGAACTAGGAACATGATGCATTACGACTCAATAAAAAAACAAATGAAGGAAGAAAATGGAGTAGTACAAATATGTGACAAAGTGTAGAAAAAAGTGGTCCACTGCAAGAGATCATGGATGAAAAATAAGCCTATAGATATCAACTACGGTAAAAGAAGAAAAGAGAACAATAATAAAACACACAAACGAAACTTTTGCAAATTACAATCGGATCTAGGAGCACTTCTCTAAGTTTTAATAGTACATTTGAAACTTGTTACGTTGTAGTTAGTAAAAAGTAATTTGTAAATAGTAATTCGTAGATGGTAATCAAGTAGGTTGATAACTTGTAAGATGGTTCTTAGATCTTGTCTCTTGTTTACAAAAATCACGATCCACAATTCTTTCAAGAAATGTTATGTCAAGAGTCAATTTGTGGATATTCACCGTTCTCTATTAATGTAAGTTTTTTCTTCTTAGATTGAAGCATTGTAAAGACTCAATATTGTTCATCAAGTATTGATGAAAGTTTTAAGTTTGTAATTTTTTGGATATCTAATGATATTGCAAGTTGTTTTGATCATTTAATGACATCAAAGCGTCCCCTAGCCATTGGCTAAATTTTTTCAAGCCATAGAGGCCAAAATATTCCGCCCATTCATTTTGATTATTTATTATTTATTTATTTTATTTCATCCTATTTAGGTGTGGATTATTATTATTATTATTATTATTTGGATATCTTTATTTTTAGAATTGCGCTAATTAATTATTCCTCATGGTATGTAGATTCTTATTAAGTTTAGAAATTAGAGTCGGTGTGTGTTAGATTCATACTTATTTTAGAAGTTCATGTTTAATGTGGATCCATAATTAATATAAACTAACATTTAAGTATTTATTAAATATCGATTACATTAAGTCCAACTAGGTTTAGGAATAGTCTTTCTTTTCTTATTAAATTTGTCTTTAGCCTAATTTCATAAGTTCCACTGGACAATTTTTCTACCCTAGCCGAATTAGTGCCCTATTATTTAAGCATCGTTATGCTTCTTTCATAAGGGTTCGACTTTTGATATTGAAACTAAACATATTTTTATGAGAGGGTTTTCTCTACAAAAATTATGTGTTCCTTGCATCATATAAAAACGTGAAGTTATTCTTGATTTGATAAATCAAGGTGGCATTTTGATCAATTGGATCAAACTATAAGGTGGTGATTTATCTTATCCTTAGAGCTTATATACATATCCCCATATGAATCTTGACTTCTACAAGGCTAGGTCTTGGTTTTCGATTGTTCTATTGATTAATTAAAACTTGTAGAAATGGTTTATTTGTTAAGAGCATACTATAAGGTTTGTCCGCCAATGTAGAGAGGATGCACACTATGATTTCTTTAAGCTTAGGTTATTTCCTAGCTCTTTAACAAGGGGTCATTTTTTTGGTATATAAATTTACCCCTTCCCTTAATTACATCCACACACATAAAGAGAGATGAAATCCATTTTTCAAAAATAAAAACTATGGTTATCGATTTGGTCAAATTCAAATAACATGCTAGCAAATTTATTAAAGTATACCTAGATAGATACATAGAGACTAAGTACCAAGTACTAGGCTAACATCCTTGCAAAAGAAATTTGTAGCTATAGCTCAACGAGGATTAGAATTTGAGCTCGTAAAGAAGTTTGAAAAGATAGAGTTTAAAGACGTCTATGAGTGAGGAATAAGAGATACTAAGTAGGAAAACATACTTAGAGAAAAGAGAAAAGAAAACCATGGTCTTTGAAACCTACTATTTGGAATCAAATCCATAGAAAGTGGATACGGCAGATTTTATTCATGGAACTCATCTCGCTTTGTGATACCTCATAAAAAAGAAATGCAAAGGCTCTAAGATCACTTAAATCTAGTGAAGAAAAGAATTATTGTTTTTATATAAACCAAGTTAATCAAATTTTTTATTAGTTGGTGGCTAATAAAAGGGTTAAGTTCAAAAAAAATATAGAATTTTAACTATAAAAAAATGAAACAATCTATGGCAAATTATTGATGTGGTATGGTCGTGCAAGCGATGAAGAATTGCATAATGTTTAGGAATGTAATCAAAGGTCTTATAGGGGAAAAAAAGGAAGGAATTTTCATAAAGTAAGGATACAATGGTATAGATAAAGACTTTTTTATTAGCATCAACACCATTGACACTTACTCCTTAGTTAATATGATTTCCTTATCTCCGAATGTTATTCATGCCATTAAGACTTTGAGAAATACGTTGCAGAAAGTGACATTTGATACTATAACTACAAATGGATACTTTAATAATCTAGTGCGGATAAGGTTCTAGAAATTTGCACTTGTTGATAAGTTGCAAGCAATTGATAACATTTCCTTATAGTCATTACAAGGGTAAATTTTGTTGAAAAATCACAAAAAGAACTTAAAAAGCTTCGGATAATCTTTAAATTGAGGCTCTTTAGTCGTTTTTTGGTGTTTTTCATCACTTTGAAGTAGTGCCGTGGATAGAGGAAGGTTTTATTATGGTGGTTGATGTGACGCCCTCGACTCCCTTGCCTATTACCTAACAGGCGTGACCGACGCGACACACTCGTTGGGACTAAGTCCCCTATTTTCTCCATCATACACAACAAAATACGTAGATAACTAAACCATGGCAACGTACGATATGATTTACAAACATTATTACGGATAGTTCTATAATTTACAAACTACTCAAAATGCCTAAAAATTTACAAATTAGGCTCGTACCCCTTTTCAATGACATAAAAGATATTTCTATTTTTATGAGTGACGCATGAGCCTCTTTTAGCGAGAACTAGTAGCATCCTTGATCGGCTTAACTTTGTTCTTGCTCGAACAACACACAAATATAATAATAGAATGAGTCGAAGCTCGGTAAGTAGGGTGATGCACGTGATATGCAATGCTATTCTATTTTCCACATTTTTATCCATTTTAATCCGAGTACCTTGGGTATCCGCAAGTCCGTGCGTTC